GAAGGAAGTCCCTTGTTTAGTTAGATAGGGTATGACATCCTTTAGTGGCAGTGGGGCCCTGGCATAACCTTTAAAGTTGATCCCCCCTAAATTTTAAGTCATTTTTTATGCTTGGCTTATATGAATGTGCAAGAGGAGGGTCTAATTTTGACTGAGTGCTTAGTAGGAAACAAACAAACAAACAAACCCAGAGTAAATTCCAAAGTAACAAATAGATTTGAGCTATGGGAAACATTTCAGGAGCAGAAAAATCTGGTAACTTTTGCTTAAGTATATCAGTTCTCTGTAAGAAAAAAAAACATTCTTGAAGAGATCTCAAGGTTCACCCCTCTTTTTTTGAATCCTATCTGTGGCTAGCTCCCCACTTTTTACTATTATTGTACAAATGAACATCTTTGCACCTATGATTATAACTTCACCCTGCTTAAGTAAATTTGGTTTAAAAGAATTGAAGCTTGGTATTATACAGGGGCAACTGAGTCATGATACGCAATTGCAGCCAAGGACCATGCATTCTGATCTCTGGCTGCAACAATACTTTCTGTACAGCATACTGTGCCAAGTAAAGAATACAGAACATCTGATAATTAATACATTAATCATGGATTAATGAGTGAAAGAGATGTCCAAGATTAATTAAGGCAATCTCCTTGTTTTTTCCAGCACAATTTTGTTGGGAATGAGCTCCTGTGAAAAGTCAGGATCAATCCTTATAGCTTGCCTGGTGCTGGGCAGCCCCCCTGCACTCACCCACACTACCACTGGCAGCGCTGATGCTATAAATATTAATTCCAGGATAGTGTGCCAGCTGATCCCAGCACTCAGGAGGCTGGAAGTATGCCAGATGGAAGGTCTCCCAGAAGACACATTCACACTGTGTTTGCCATCACTGGGCTCACTTGGTGGTCTGGCATCCTGCATGGTGGATACAGCTACCAGGCAGGCCAAGTTGTTGGTTTGGCACCCTCGCTGCTACACACAAAGGATGAACTGATTCCTCTAGCATGGCTCTGCTAACACACTTGATGTAGTCATACTTCTGTAAGCTATAGGCTAGTAAATGAGGAGGTGAGGATTGGAGTGTGGGGAGAGATGCAATTAACAATGGGTAATAGGCCCATTTCAGTTAAATTCCTCATAAATTGGTTCATCTAGCAAAGTGATTAGTGCCAACCCTCCCCAACTAACTCTCTTGAAGAATTAAGTATTTTGGTGTCTATCGGCTGGGAGGTGTGATGCATGCATCTGGACTAGCGTTTGCCTTGGGAGCAGTCCGAGTTGCAGCCTCACATCTTGTCTGATTTTATCCATAATGGTTAAGGGTGATACAGAATTCTGCCTTTAAAGATGCTTGCACAGTTTAATCCAGTGATGGTGATAGCAAGGGGACAGGTAGACAGCAAGAGTGTGAGAGTTATCATATGAATGGTTAAAGAACTGTTTCTCTTCCAACATAATCATGTAAGATAGCAACTGCCCAACCTGCACTTTACATTCCATATCATTAATGGGCAAATATTAAGCTTTTAGGGTACTTGGTCTCACAGTCCTTTTACAGAAAAAATACTCCTGATTATCTGTGGCATTAACTTTGCTTCAGTGCCTAGATTTAAGTGGAAGAAAAAAGTAATTTTGTTATTACTGTTGCTAAACAATTAGGCATTAGAAATTCTTGCCAACCTACTGCAAATCATCCAGACATATACTAGTAGATTAGGATCTACTTTCTGCCCACCTTTCTTCTACATAGTTTGGGAATAGATGGAGAAGATAGCAAACAGAAGTAGGAAGTGCTACAATTGAAGCTTGTTAGTCCAGTGAAATACTATTGGATACTGTGGTTCCTACAACAGAGCCAGGTTTTGCAGCTTAGACCTTCATGATGGGACTGGACATGTATAGTACATTCAACAGATTACAAACATTAATGACTGATGAAGCAGAATTACCCAGCTCAAAATGTTCATAAATGTTAAGACACTTCATTTGTAGAAATGTAGAGACTGGTGGAGTTTTCTTTAAATGTTCCAGTTAATTATATGTTTCCTATAAAACTCTAGGCAAACCAGCCATTACTTGAAAGAGAATAGCTTGATGAGTTTCTGCTCAGACCTGGCAAAAGGGGTCTTATTTTCTAGTGAAGGTGTGTTGAGAATTTCTGCTGGTGGATATGAAACCCTTATGAAGATTTAGAACTAAATAGAGTATGTCCTATGAAAGAAGGATCCTTGCAATTCCAAAGGTATGTGGCTTTGTATAAATCTGCCCTTATAAAGAGGGGGTGTTCATGGACTAAGAATTAGGAACTGAAAGCATAATGTGTGCTCTGGAGAAGAGTGAGCAAGGATCTCAGAATAAGTGGAAAACTCAGTGGGGATCTGCCCCATAGAAGAAGGGGTAGTGCATGGAACAGGGGTAAGAAAACATGAATTTGACAGCAAATTTCATCTCTTTGTTCTTCTTCTCCCAGCGGTAAATGGCCAAGACCAGCAGTCTCCCACCCACCTTGCGACCCATCACCAGGAAACTGCCGCTGAGGTCATCAAGCTGTGGGCAAGGACAGGCTCCTGCATTCTTCATATGCAGCACCAACTTCTTGGTATCTTTGCGTTTCAGTGGTCCCACCTTGAGCAGCTTTTTCTTCTTCTGAGCAGCTACCAGTCGCCTCTCCCCATTCTCCTTCTTGATCTCCTTGATGCGCATCTTCACCACTGTAAGGGAGGAATGAATAGTGGGTTGTATTAGTGGCTTACATAACACATAGTGGCTTACATAACACAGGGTGAAGTTAAGTGAAAGGAAAATGAGATGGGCTCACAAGGACAGGACCTTTGGGGCTGTCTTCTTTGCTTTTGAGAGCTTCATATTTGCTCTACTAACAGAGATGGAAAGGCAAAAGAAGAATGAGTAATTACAACTTGCTTGTTCTTCTTGATTTGTCATATTTTTAGTTAGTGTCCTTGTTGATTTTAAAACCTGCATAACTTCCAAATTCTTCCACCACTTCCGTTATCTTAGATATACTTCTTAATGGATCTTCAAAAAATAAATAAATAAATAAACTAAATCATCTGCATAAGCTCTAACTTTATAACTTTTATTTTCACCCCACATATTCCTTTCATTTGCTGTATTTTTCTGTTTAATATCTCTATTATTATTAGAAAGAGTAGAGGTGATGGGGGCACCTCTGTCTTGTCCCCTTGTGTATATGTACTGGCTTTGTTTTTTTTCCTGATTAACAATTATTTGGGCAGTATGCTTGTCATAAATTCTTTCTATCCATGTCATATATATATATTTACCAATATTCATTTTGTTTAGAACTTCCATAAGAAACATCCAATTTACTCTGTCAAAAGCTTGAGAGAAAGTATTCTTAATAAGTACAAGCTGCCCAGGATTTCTTCTTGCTCTAAGTAGTTCAGGGAATAGGACTAAGATGTGGTCAAGCCTGCTTCTAGCCACGTGAGGTGGTAGTGGTGTAGTGGTCATATGGAGAAATGTGAACTAGGGTAGTGGACATCATTCCAGCTAGCAATGATTTCCTGGACTACAGCAGCATTTAAATCAAATTTGTGTTTGTTTACCATCTGAGTCATTCTTAGATTTTCCATGCAAGCAGGGTTGAAAGATGGCCCAGGACAGATCATTCATAGATGAAGCATCCCATGTAAACAGCTCTCAGCATCCCAAAAGTCAGATGAAAAATATTGATGAGTGAAAATAACTGATGGGATAGTTAGCTGTTTTGTGATGGAGTAACTTGATATCAACATAGATCAAATACCCTAAAGATCTTGTCTGATCTTGGAAGCTAAGCATGGTTAGCACTGCTTAGTACTTGGGTGGGAACCCACCAATGAATACCAGGTGTCATAGGCTATATTTCTGAGGAAGGATTTGGCAAAACCACCTTTGAGTATTCCTTGCCTAAGAAAATTATGAGGTTGCCATAAACTGATAGGTGACTTGAAAGCACCTACACACACACAGCCTGCTATCAACCAATATGCTTTAAGGTAGAAATAATGCTCAGGTGTTGATTTCTGATAAGGTGCTTCTTCTAGATATATTATTAGTACTGGCATAAATTGACCTACTGATAAAACATTCTGGAAATGAAGTAAAATCTGAAATTAAAAAGAAGTCTGAGATCAGAAAAAGGCCAACACATTCCGCTGCTTGGGGAGCATCAGCAAATGGTTCTTATCTCCAACTCAAGCTGCATTTCATCCAGGAGGCCAAACAAGTTTTTGGGGTTAGAATTAGAAAATCCTACAAGCATCTCTTTTCCTCACTGGTAGTAAAATGCATAATAATAATAATAATAATAATAATAATAATAATAATAATAATAATAATAATAATAATAATGTTGCTTTCCTTTCATGATGGTTGTGGGATTCTGGAAGTTATAATCTAAAAATATACAATAATGCTTTACCCTTTAGAAACTGTGAAGAATGGTTTCTTTAAGTCTCTGCCAGCTGCCCCCAAAGGTACACTTGTTTCCCTTATAAGAGCTGAAACAGGGCTAATCTCTCATAAAGCTGGTGTGCGTATAGCACTAGCCTCATATTTGCTGAAGCTGGTTAGCATTAGTGACACCTATCTCTCTAAAAAAATGCTTCCTAGAGCAACTACAATATCTCTTCTAAAGTTCTTGGACAAATTCATTCAGGATGATACTCCATCAGTATTGGATTAATGTAGAAGCCATTTCAAATTATTCTTCCAACAGAGTTAAACAACTAGTTAAGGAAAAAATTAATTTTACCTTCAAATGGTAGGACTTCAAATGGTATGCTTTCCCAAACAACATATTATTTATGGTTTGCTGTTGTTGCTGTGTATCTTCGTCATTTCCAACTTATGACAATCCTAAAGCGAACCTATCATGGGGGTTTCTTGGCAAAGTTCTCCAGAGGGGGTTTGCCATTGCCATCCTCTGAGGCTGAGAGTGTGTGACTTGCCCAAGGTCATCCAGTAGGCTTACATAGCCGAGCTGGGATTTGAACCCTGGTCTCCTGAGCCATAGTCAAACATACAAACCACTATACCATGCTGGCTTTCACATTCTTTATGGTATGGTATGGTATGGTTCTTTATTATATAAAACATCTTTTGGAATGGAGCAATGTATTTTCAATCTTACCTTTCTCCCACTTAGAAAAGTGTTTACAGCTTTTGTATGCTGTTCACCTATCTGAATGGAAGAAATAATAATATTCCTATGCACCAAAGAATTTGCATTTGTAAGTCAGGGGAAGTAGAGGACACCCAGTACTGTCTTTTGCAATGTCTTCTCTATACTGGCCTTAGATAAAAATTTCTTAATTATATCCTCCACTCTCTTTCCAATCAACCTCCCCTTGAGGTCGTATCCTATTGTTGGATCCTGTTGGATTCTATTGGCTGGCAACAAATGCATATACCACTGTTATGGTCACAAAATTTGCCTCAGCCACAAGTAAATTAAGATCTAGGGATCAAAATCATGTATAAGAATTATACAGGGGTGATGAAGATATATGGTGTAACTTATATTAAATAGGATTTTATATTTCTGTATTTGTATATTTTTGTATAATTTGCAAGAAACACTCACGCAATATAAAAATATAACTTTTCCAGACTCAGCTTTCTCAACTTCCAAAATCACCTTTGACTGAAGTGGATGTTTTTCTAACAGTAAGGCCAGCTTTGCTGATGTAAACTGTACTGCTTTGTTTTCATTTTTCAAAATTTGCATTTGATTCATTGAACCCTTTTGCCATGGTAATCTGTGAGTGCCAGTTGAATACCACAGTTCCTTGAAGAGGAGGACATCCAGAAGGTCAGGCAGTAAGTGGCAATCTGACATCCTGTGTGCAAATAATCAGTTCCTTTCTTCATTGTTAATGTTTACCTGCAATGATCACTTTAAGTATAAGTCTGACTTCATTCTTTCTAGGACAGTACATGCTGGGACTTCATCATGATTATTTTATTATGATTTATTTAAAAATGTAAATCTTGGCTCGGCAGCATAAATAGTCTTCAAGGCAGCAAACACCTTCTGCATTATCTTAACTGCAGTATTGCAAAACCAATTAAACAAACATAGACATAAAATCAGGGTAAAATACAGTTTAAAACAGCACAAGCAATAATAATGAATAGTTTCAGATACAGATAATATTAACAAGCCAGACAAGGAATTTGGACTTAGCCCATTTGTTTCCATTTTTTTGGTCTTTTTTTCTTTTAAGGATCTCAAGGCCAGGAATGTGATCTCCCCTATTTTACCATCTCAACAACCATAAAGAATGGTTAGGGTGAGAGGTCACTTCTAAGTAAAGGCATTGTCCATAGAGCTTCAGTTATCAGGCAGTACAGAAATAAATACATTGTCTGTGGTCAGGTAGAAATTTGAACTTTCCCCAGTCCAGTACTAACACCACAGATGTGACATGCAATAAATACACCTGATGTCTGAAGAAAATGCCAGGGCAGATTATTTCACTTCTAGGGTCTTGCCAGCAAAAATCTCAATTTTTGAACATTCCAGGGGATGAGTAGTCAGTGGACCTCATAAATAGTTCTCAAATGGTAGGAAGGTAGGTTCATCTGGCAGAAGGCAGTCCTCCTGAAACCAGCCTTTTAGCTGTGTAAAAAGCTCCTTTATGCTGACCACATCTTTGGTCCATATAACTCAGTGTTGTCTATAGTGGTTTGGCCACGTTTTGAACAAAGGTTTTCCCAATCTCAGAGTGGAGATATTTGGGACTGACAGTCTGGGAGCTTTTGAATGAAAAGTAAATACCTCTATCACTGAGCTATGAGTAGGTCAAAACCAACACTTTGATTTGGGCCATGAAAAAAGACCTAGATGCTAGTGAAGATATGATGCAAGAGGTTGGCATTTAAGGGATGGGGAAATGGGAGTAACAGATATGTGCTACATTTCCAGTACAGTGTGGCATTCCCATTCATGGGGGTTCAGTTTTGTCTTCCCCCCCACACAGATGAGAAAAAATGTAGGAGCTGAAGCCCCTATTAGTTAATGAGTGGCAATGTGCACACACCACCATTGACTAATATGGGGTGTGGTGATCTGCAGAAGCTTAATCCAGTCTACTGAAATGGCTGGTCCTCTATAGCAGTTATAAAAACAACTCATATATAGATTCCCAGATCCTGGTTTCTTTGAATCAGGGGTAGGAATCATGGACCTCCAGATGTTGTTGGATTGAAACTTCTAGCAGCCCAAAGCAGCATAATTGTAAACTGTAATCTAGCAGCCTCTGGAGGGCTGCATGATTCCCACCTTTGCTTTGAGTGTATGGCTTACCAAAGTCACTGGAACACATCTGCTCCATTATACCATCTGCTTTGTGCTCCATCTCACACTGGGTGCAGATCTTTGACACTGTGGTAGAAAAAGGAGAAAAGTTCATGAAATCATTGGAACATTTTGAGTATCTTTGTCCTGTAGCTTGTCACACTTTGGTCTGTAACATCTTCTGTTTAACCAACTTCTCATGATCACAGTTATCCCCAATCTTAGTTTTTTTTCTATTTTGTCATGAACTTGCCATGAAATATCCTAAACTCACAGAAAGTTTGGGAGCTTGGCTAACAGGAGCCCTGTAATCCATGTTGAAAAGTCTTCTGAACAGTTAATGAGACTATGTTGTAGGGAAAATACTAATCTCTTGTGTGACTGAACCTGTTTCCACTTATCAATTACAAAAGAAGGTCAAGGAAGAAAGCGCAAACACAGGATTACTGCTGAACATAAAGAAACAAAAATAATGACCCCGGAAGATCTATATAAGTTCACCCTAGATAATGAAGAAATTGAAATAGTTAAAGACTCTCCATGCCTTGGATCAAACATTGATCAGAGTGGTGACTGCAGTCAAGAAATAAGAAGTCCAGGAATGGGTAGGGCAGCTATGGAAGAACTAGAAAAGATCCTGAAGAGTAATGATATACACCTGAGCACAGTCAGAATTGTCCAGGCCATTATATTCTCCATTGCCATGTAGGGATGCAAAGGTTGGACAATAA